AAATTAAGAGTGCTACCACAAAGAGTTTCTTCATGTTTACATGTGTATCAGGAAGTTGTCAGATACAGTACTGCAACAAGTGAAAGTATTTGACGACTCCCTGGTGTGTAATTCTGAGGACAATTTTTCTTCTTCTTTTTCAGCTCCAGATAGCTGTATTTTTCATTGCAAAACATTCCTGAATTGTTGTGTTTGTTGTTCAAGCAAAGGTGAAGGCAGAGGACAGATGAGCCTGGTACATGAAGACCACACACAGGCAGTGACTTTGCGAGGATCTGAAAACGCACGACGCCGAGTTGAATTTGTGTTATTTCAAATAATTGTTTGTGATCACAGTACCACTTCGAGCAGAACTGAATCTTATCCAAAAGCTTACCGACGGTCAGGCTGCCAACATGACTGAACAAATGATCCCTGCAAGCACCACACGGCAGACGTCCGAGGCCACGTCCATTGCCGGGATGTCCATCTCCAAAAAGAATTCCATCTTCGTCTCAATGCTACACTGCGATTCGTCGTAGAGTCGTACATTCTACAGAGTCGTCGTAGTCACGCGAGGAAAGCTGAGATCGCCACTTTCGACCACGCGTTCACATGTCACACTGCGCCGTACAGTCACCATTATGCCCTTCATATTCATGTTCATGTAACATCCCGTAGATTTCACGCGTACAGTCTCAGTCAGGGTTGTCACTGACGACGGGCTTTGGACGCGGGCGTTGGACTGATTTATTGCCCGCTCATACAGACCAGTGATTGGCCCGATCCAAGGAAACACTCACGTGACATGTGATAAAAACTAATTATAAAAACCGAGGTCCCCCGAGGTTTTTTACTGGTCATAAACCCTCGGCCTCCTCATTAATTGTATACTTAGATCCATTTTTATCTCTTTGCCCTTGCCTACAGTGTGCGAAGAACGCGAGTTCACCTTCTTGACGGTAAGGCTTATGTTGCTGCTGAGGCTTAGATGTGTTGTCGAAATACTCATGTTCATTGTACATTGGTACGTTACAAGTAAGGCACTGGTCAGTGGCATACTATCGTTGGCAGTTCCCAATCTGGAGGTAAAGGTTCAAGGACCCATTGACCCAGTATGCAAAATAAATTCGCATATCAGGGAAAATCTCCATTATGGAGAGGTTCAGTGACTTGTTTGCTTCATACGAAACAAGCCATATATGACCAGATCGTGCAGATGGCTGTCTTGTTATGTACCGTACCGGTACACGTCGTGCTTGGTACACCTCCCTACAGAGTACAGAGTCAGTCCATTCATTGGAAATAAAACTGGCACCCTAAGGCTGTGTTTACATGAGAAATTTCAACCCGGGTCGAGTTCAGCCCGGGTTGAAAGTCTGTACGATAGACAAAAGAGGTGAGCGTTTACATGAAGACAGTTGACCCGGGTCAAATACTGATATGCCGCCAAATGTTCACTTCTAGAATCCTGTATGGTCACGTGAATCCGTTCGTGCAAAATTTGCATCTGCAGTGCTGTTCAAACCTGGCGCGAGATACGCACAGAAGTACGTTTGTACGATTTTCTTGACCCGGGTTGATTTCAACCCTCCCCTTGGGGGGAGGGTTGAAATCAACCCGGGGCGAAATTTCAACCCGGGTCAGGCGCAATGCGTCATGTAAACGCGCCATTCATTTTGTGCACATGGCGGGTTGAAATCTGACCCGGGTCGAAATCCACCCGGGTTGAAACGCCTCATGTAAACACAGCCTAACTTTTTGGTGTCTCCCACACATAGTTGTAGATATCGTGAAAACAACAGTCACATCCTGCATCGCCATTGTGTGACCCGTGCAATTACTCCTTGTCATGTTTGAGGCCAGAAAAGTCACGGACAGGGAAATAGAAATTCAGCCAGGTTTTACCAAAATTAAATAGGACAGGTACATGTATGCCGTGGCGCAATGTACGGAGAAGCAGATCCCAAACCCAGATTTTTGAGATTTAAAGTGGGGTTTGATCCTCAATTCGGCCCAAATCGGACTTTCAAAAGCCAGCGGGACTGTTTCCGATGAATGGACAGACTGTAATACCAAGAATACTCTTGCCAGGGAGTCGTAAAATACCGGCACTTTACGACTCCCTGCTCTTGCTCATACTTGAGAACGGGTTCATTCCGGCACAACGTCAATCACGTGAAACCATGACGGCAGAACCATGGACCAAAGCGAAAAGACAACCCAACTTCGGAAGTAAAATAGAAAAAGAATTGAAATGTAAGATTGAAGAGAAAAGCTTGATAAGAAACCGTTGCCTAAATGGCCTACTGGCATGCAGAGGCGAAGTCACGCCTCTGCCCGTTTCAGCACAGCCGTCGGCAATATGCTTGCTGATACTAGCAAGAGTCTCGATATAACCGTGGGGTATATATACTGTTGCTAATATAAGTAGTAATAGTACCGTAGTAGTAATAAAGCCTCTTGGACGGGCAAAATGAATTGCACATACATTTACATTTATTTACAGCCATTAATCTCCTTTCTTCTCTGTTGTAGAATTGCTGTCCGGTGCGTATTTACCGCCATATTGCCAGGTGCGTGTTTACCACCATAATTATGAATAAAATTCTCTGGATTTTTCAATTGCGCATACTGTATAACTATAAACAGAAAATCCGTCTGGAATTTAATTTCGTCTTTTTCGTCCAAGGAACTTTTGAACTAAATTAAGTGCCGGACAAATGTCGATTTTTCCAGCTTTTCTATACACTATTATGATCCATGGACGAAATTTTTGACCGACGAAATTTTCTGCCTCTACAGTACATGTAACATCAGCCAAATTCAGTAAACTACTTCGAAGTACACTCGGAAATCAGTTTAGATGCTAGTAAATCAATTGGAATAGTGGTCCGCGGAGTGTCTCTGTAAGTTTGTATTAAGGTCCGGCGGATTCTGCTGGCAGAAAAATTGGCAGAATTCGGTACTTTTTCGGGTAAGTTTCATGCATGTTTGGTATGTGGATAAAGCAATGGAGCAGAATTCGAGGAATTGCCCGCCATAAGGTTTGTATGGTTCTGCCAATTTCACTGCTTTTCGAGCAGAATCTGCCACCTTTTCGAGCAGAATCCGCCGGTCCCTAGTTTGTATCCCTGGCGATGTTTGTGCCTGGAGAGCACTATATAAGTGGTGCTTTTCAGGCACAATCTTCCTCAGCCTACTCAAGCTCAACTGATGAGGGGTGAATTCCCCGAAACACTGTGTATTGAGCAGGGAGTGGTGCTTTCTTGCAGGTTTGCAGAGTCGAAGGTTCGATGGACCAGGGCCGGCGCCGGCGCCACTTCCCAAAAATTCGGTCCACGTGGCCGTGAAGCGTCCAAAACCGGGGAGAAAAAGTTTCGATGTATGATTTTGTACAGGGAGTCGCCCAGAGTGCAGGATTTGCTGTCTAAATTCCCAATTCTTTTTGGGGGGGGGGGGGGGAGGACCCCAGACCCCTCTTAAAGATGGCCCTTCGGCCGCGCCACTCTGCGGAAGCTGCTTCCGGCCCTGTGGACTTCTCGTGTGCTCTGGATGGCAGTCGTGAGTCAGTCAAGTGTCAAGTCAATTCGGCGGAACAGCGCGAGCTCCAGTTTGGAGAGCAAACCCTTTCTTACAAATCAATTGGAACACAAAATAAAAATGGAAAAATCAATAGGAGAAAAACCATTTAAAAGTATCTGGGTAAAAGAGCTCACAGAAACATTACTCTTGCTAATACATGTAGTAGATCCACTGTAGTACTGTGTATATTTGGTCTTGCCACTTCAGCGCCACCGTTTCAGCGCGATACATTTCTGCGCATGATTTCACAGCGCAACTCACCGCGAAAAATGAAGGCGTGGTAATTTACAGCATGAAGAAGTTCAGCGCGATCAAGTACAGCGCGATCAAGTACAGAGCGATCAAGTACAGCGCGGTACAGTTCAGCACGGTGCTGAGTGCAGTCGCAGGACTACCGTTTTCTATTAGCAGATTTTAAAAATCTTCCATCACCCGTTCCCGAGCATGAACCGGGGCTCAAGTTACTAGTAATATCGAATGAATCCAGCAGCGTCTACCGACCAAATAGGTTTCTACTCTCATTGAACAAGCAAAACCTCTTGTGCAACGGCTCCAGCAAGGGCCTTTTCTTCACAAAAAAATGTTTGTGGTGTCGGTCATACGATAAAAGTTATTGCATGGCCGACAATACGAGAGATCGCTTGACAACATCAAAGTGTTATCAAGCGATCTCTCGTATTGCCGGTCAAACATTCTCAAGGGACTTCAGGAGAGTGATGGCACTGCAACAATTTTGCACAATGCAAGCCTGGATGATCAAGATAATCGGCATTTCCACTTTTGCAGTACCTGAGAGTTGACAAGCCATTGCTCATAATTTTTGATGTGTGGAGCAGAGGGAGCGGGCGTTCAAAATGCGTTCCTATCATGCCAGTACCTCTCCGGGGCTTTTCATTCAAATCAAAATTTGAATGAACCAAGCAGTCCTAAAATACATAATCAACAAATCAACATAATACGCGTCCAGCCGTAGCATTCGCTCAGGCCGCTCAACAGTGTCAATACGCCAGAAGAGAGTAAAGAGGAGAGAAAGCGAGGGAAGGGGCACAGAGCAGCGGGGTCGATAGAAAAAAAGAGGAGGCAATGGATATGGAAGAAAGATATCAGATTGTCCATTCCATTTACTTCGTACATTACGCATCCTAACATTTAATAACGGTTAAATCTAGCGATGGATTCTTTGGAGAACGAAATAATCGAAGAATTTTCTTCTCTAGCTTTTAAATTATGCCTCGCAAAAGATTGCGACAGTAGTCAACGTTGGAAGAGGTAGGATTACAATATTGAACTCCTCGATAGGCATATTGCCTTTGCGTCATTTCATAATAATAATAATAATGATTATAATGTACACGTAGTCAGAAAAGAGGACACACCTCAGACTCGTGTGTCCTTTTTCTGAGTATTATCGCATTGTTGTCTCAAAGGAAACTAAGGAAACTAGTCAGAAAGAGTATTATACTATTGAAAGCAGGAGCGGTGAAACCAGCGTTTGCCGCCGGGTTAAGGGAGATGCTTGCTTGCGTTGGGCCGCGGGGACAAGTACGATGGCACTGGTACGCTTGCACCACACGCACCAAGTGTGTGCGTCAGCCATGACAATGTCGGTTGCCAACGGCGATTCCAAGCCGCTTGGGTTTCGGAAAGTTGACGGGCTTTCACCGACACAACCCCTGTGCGTAGTAGGTACTGTAGTGGTTATCAATAATACCCCATTTTTTGGGGCAGGGCCATGTACCAACCGCAGAGCCGACTCTGCACATACCACCGTGCTGCACTTTGCAAGCACCTTTAACTCCCCCGACACTTAAGGAATAGTATCCGAACTCATCTTTCCCCCCGCAAAGCGACTAGTGAGGCGTAACCGCCAATGTCCTGTGCTGACAAAAAAACACTAACAGCTTGTGGGCTCGCACTGCAGCCGGCCGCCATTCTCGTGCCCATGTGTGCGTCCGTCTTTCAGCTCCCGGGTCACCTTCCCACCTGGTCTTCAGAATCGCTTCATCGCAGTGGCGTCTCTTGTCCTTTCGAGAATTCCCAGTTCCGTGTCTTCTCTGCCCAGGGAACAGGGCGAACTGCAAGGAACAGTGCACAAAGAAACGCTTTGTCAAATAATTGAAATGACAGTGGCCGGAATTATGACAATGCGTTCTGTTTCCAATCAGTTCACTAATTAAATGAGAGAGAGACGAGGGGGGGGGGGGGCAGAGGGAGAGAGAGTGTGTGAGGGGGAGAGAGAGAGAGAGAGAGAGAGAGAGAGAGAGAGAGAGAGAGAGAGAGAGAGAGAGAGAGAGAGAGAGAGAGAGAGAGAGAGAGAGAGAGAGAGAGAGAGAGTGAGTGGGAGAGAGATTTCCAGTTCGGCCCTGTCACTGCGATACACTCCACAATCGTGACCAACGTGAATAATCGGTGCCACGCATCCAGAGCCAGGTGCACAAGGGCGTTGTGGACGGAGGATCCGCACGAACATACCAGGGGCGTAGCTGGTCCCTCTTTTTGGGAGGGGGGGGGGTGCATGGTCGTATATGTGTAGTATGACTGGTGCATGTCATTCATGGTCATCATGTGCATGCTGAACCTAGGTCGAAAATTTTAGGGGGTGCACCCCCGCCCCCGTGCTCCATGCGAGCTACGCACCTGCATACATTGCTGCTGGCAAGAGTACATGAAACCTAGAGTGCGCAGCTCTGATGGGTTGCTGTCACGGCAAAATTCCATGATTACATCATTTTATTGATGTAGTGCGTACAAGCAGGATTCAAGCAGGTCTCTTTCTGCACAAGTGATGTAGTGCGTACAAGCAGGATTCAAGCGGGTCTCTTTCTGCACAACTGCAGCTCAGTTGTACGCACCACGCCACGTCCCGCCTCAGATCTGCACCAAAGATGATGCATCGTGGAATTTCGTCGCGACAGACACCCATGCAGAACGTCAGAAGCTGAACATTCTGGTTTTCAGGTACAGTCAACTTCGCTAATAATGACTGCGGATATAACGACAATTCGCGAATAACGACAGAATTACCGTGCCCAGAGCAAAGCCCCATCCAACTGTAATACATATAATGAGACTTCGGGTGTAACGACACTTTTCTGATGCCCCGCCGAGTGTGGTTATAAGCGAAGTTGACTGTACTCTCGCTACCTGTACTAGCTACACACACCATCCATCACTGCAGCACGCCACAGTACGATACACATGTATGCGGGCCAGTAAGTACCATGTCAGACAGGCGCGTAGTGCATGTAGTACCACCACCTCTGCTCAGACCAGGGAGTCGTAAAATACCGGTATTTTTTGACTCCCTGACTCAGACTATAGCCATTTTGTATAAATAACTCATTTTGGCAAAATATTACCCCACATAAAAGTGTAAATCAAGAGTCTTCGAAGCAGCGACCTTCTTCTACAACTGCCGCCAAAGTTGCAAGATCCTAGTGCGTCAAGAATCTTTGCTCGCAAGTTCTTACTTTCAAACCCGCTTGTCTGCAGGCAGTAGTTGATTCATTTCCGCCAGCTTTCCCGGGTACTTTCCCCAGTCCTTGATAATCCGGCAAAGGCTAATGTAGCCCAGTTGTTCTTGCGGCTTGATCACCTTGATCAGCTCATGGTTGTGGATGTGTGGCTGCTGATGCTGCTCGGTCCACACCAGGCGGTCGACTTGGGATTCGTTGAGAAGATCGCCAGCTTGCTGAGCACGATTGCGTAGCTCGGTTGGGTCGAGCGACTTCAGGAACAGATCGACCGCGCTCACGTAGCGAGGGTCCTTGAACGGGTCGGCGCAGAAACCTGGACGCAAGCACAGACATGCGCACAGAAACGCACATGCACACACACACACACACGCCCACACACACACACACGCACCACACACACACACACCGCACACCACACACACACACACACACACATGACCCACGCACACAGAGTGTAGCGATGATGACTTACATCGGGACTCAAACCAGCCCTTCTTTGGTATAATGGTGTATTTACTGCGGAGAAGTATGCATGAAAAGAAGGAAACAAAGCGTTTCTGCTGTTACCGTGAGTTGCACCTTTTTACTCATCATCAGATGGCTAAAACCGGGAGACACACAGTTACCGAGCGAATGGACTCGGATGGAGAGCCAAGGAATTATTTATACTTGCAGCAAAGATAAGAGCAAGGAGCTAATTTGTTTCCCCCTCCTATGTTATTACTGTGACTTAGAACCTTCCAAGTTGGAAGGCTGTTGGAGTGCACATCCCAGACGTGCCAGGGCTAATTGGCAGTTAGTTGTCAGGGGCAACGTCGGAAGGTATTTTAGTGTGGTACGGTCAGCCATCTGAAGTACAATTTACTGGCGGGGGAGGGGTTGCTGAGCCGAAGTTTTGGAAATTTAGAGCCCAAAATCAGTGCATTTTATTATTCACAGGGTACTTGGGGCAAATAGTGGTACGGTCAATACCGTAGTGACCGTACCGTGTCCGACACCCCCTGGTTGTAGAATGTCAGTACCGTCCATCAAAGCAGTGCAATTTCATCGAATGAGCTGATTGTCAAGTAACTGGTGGCTTTAGTGGACATTATAGCGTAACCGTAAGGCTTGCAGTTTTTGGTCCTTTTCTTTTGCTACAAATTAACACAGAGAAACGCTTTTTTCCCTTCTTTCTTTATGTGTACATGTCCTAGGGTTTATCGGGTGTTAGCGGCCGTCATGAGTTCCTGGACACGATAATTTACTCTTTTTTTGTACCTGCTCGATGTACCTACTCTCTCCCTCCCTCCCTCCCTCCCTCCTCCCTCCCTCCCTCCCTCCCTCCCTCCCTCCCTCCCTCCCTCCCTCTCTCCCCCCCCCCTCCCTCCCTCCCTCCCTCCCTCCCTCCCTCCCTCCCTCCCTCCCTCCTCCCTCCCTCCCTCCCTCCCTCCCTCCCTCCCTCCCTCCCTCCCTCCCTCCCTCCCTCTCTCTCTCTCTCTCTCTCTCTCTCTCTTTCTCTCTCTCTCTCTCTCTCTCTCTCTCTCTCTCTCTCTCTCTCTCTCTCTCTCTCTCTCTCCCTCTCTCTCTCTCTCTCTCTCTCTCTCTCTCTTGAGCTACCGCAACTCTCACTGAGCGTGTTTCAAAGAAGTACAAGTAGATGCACTCTTCGAAGGATATCCACTCATTGTCCTGAAGTGCTTTTGTTCCACTGGACCACATTTCTTGAGCATGGTAATTCCTTAAAAAAATGGGGAATAGAAAGTCGTGCAGTTTTTTTCGTTTCCGGAGGAAGTATATCATGAATGAATCACATGAGTGAATACAAGTAGCACCGACACATTGCACTGCAAGATCTAAAAATATAGTTTTTTAAAAGGTTCTGTCAGCAGATTGAGTAGTTATTAAACTACTCTGGTAGAACTCAGTTTCGGACTTAGTTTCTTTTTACGTACATGTATTCAAACCCGCCCCGTCGCTAGATTGCTGCCTTCTGCCGTCACTGACAGTCTCTGCCGTTTTTGCTCCGCGTCCCTGCTGAGATTCAGTCCGGGATTGGCCGGTTGTTGCTGATGTTGTTCTTGTTGGTGCAGCCTGGCCATGCTGACGGTGCTTGTCAATGCCTACAGCAATGGCGTAACGAGGTGTGTGTGTAGTGTGTGTGTGTGTGTGTGTGTGTGTGTGTGTGTGTTTGTGGGTAGGTGTGTTCGTGTGTGTGTGTGTGTGTGTGTGCATGTGCATGCATGTATGCATGTTAAGAGAAGGAGGATGGGAGAGAGAGAGAGAACAACAAAATATCAAAGAAGAAGTGTGCAATAATGGCTGAAATAAACACACCGGCAGAGACTCAGAGAGAGGAGCAAGAGATACTGCTCGCAAAATCTACTTTTCAGCTACAAACTGTAGACGCCTTTAAAACAAACGGGTGCTTACACAAGGCGTCCCTTTCTTCATGCCACCGCTGCAACCATGGTAACTACACTGGATGTGTGAATGACCATGTAGAGATGCACTGACAGGCAGCAGGAGAATCCATAGCCAGCAATCGCATGTCATCACGTACATTCAAAATCAACATAATTTTTTGAATCGACCTTTTTTTCAGGATCACTTTTCAACGAGGACGAAGCAAAGTCGGCCGAACGAAGCCTAGAGGAAGAAAATCACCCTCTCCACTTCACCATCACGATACTGACATAGATACGAGATGAAACAACTAAAAAATCCACGAGAAAACTGTACGGCCATCATCGCGCTGACTTTGGTCTGACTTTGGTCTGAGAATTTCTATCACGATCAAAAATGTACGAGGAGCACTCAAAAATAAGCAACAGACGTACCTCTATCGCTCTCTACTCCTTTTTCAAGGCACAAAAGTCGACTCTCCACTTTCAAACCAGGAACCAGACATACCAGTGGTCCTTTTCAGCTGCTCCACGAGCGCAGGAAATGTTCACCAAGGGGCGCAGAGCAGCATCCATTCCAGAAAAAGAGCTAAAATACGAGTCAGACTGCATGCCTGAGTACATGAGTACATGTATGAGTACATGCAGAAAATAGTCAATTTCAGCGTTTCTGCTCCAAACAGCAACTAGCTTTGACTAGAAACAAAGATTACACCAAAGGATCAAACAACAACCATATTCTGCAGTTTTTTTGCAGATGGCTTCCTTGTGCTGGGCCCAGCACGCCAAAAATCACACCTCGGAGGAGTACAAAAATTACAACTCTCAGATGTCCTCGATTGCTGGCCATGCCCAGTGTGTGTGTGTGTGTGTTGATTCTCTATCACCTCTCATTTATACAAACAAGCGGGATACGTCTGGCCAGAGCCTGTACGAGTAAAATCTAGTTGCACATTATTTGGCATATCATCTACTAGTGCTCAGCAGCTCATTCGCCGTACATTCCACTCCACTTATAACAAAACTCTCATATACCGTATTTTCCCGGAAGTTAGTACGTACTAACTTTGAAACTTAGCAGCCACATGAGTACTATCTTTCGGGGAGTACTTTTTTATCGGGGGTAAATGACACGCCGTACATTCCACTCCACTTATAACAAAACTCTCATATAGTGAACTAACTTTACTTCGTGCCATAGCAAACCGTCGTCCTTGTTCGAACCCATCCAAAAAGTGACCCTTCGTTGCGAACTGTTTCTGCTGATACCGATTACCGGACCGTTATCTTGAAGGGCTGCATGTAAACCGAGTGCACTCAGTCCAGTCATTGGCCAGATGCCAGTCATGACTTGCTGCTTGTACAGTGTAAGTTCATTTCTGTGATAACGAACTTTGGATACTGTATAAGTACAAATTTTCGTTTACGAAATCTTTCGTTAGATCTCTCCACCAGCAGGTTCGTTACGTACTAAATTTCGTTTCTGGTCGAGGTCTGTCACCCCGAACGTTCATAAGAAAAAAATGTTAGTTTGGTACAAAATTTAGTAATTTCGTGCCCCCCCCCCCCCCAATGAATAATTATAGCGAAAGTTAATTCCAAACGAAACTTTGTACTTATACACAATATAGAGTATACCGGAGGATGTAGCCAGTGTGCGGCCTTGTTGTTCTGTTCTGTACGTTGTATACATCATAAAAAAACTGATTAGCACCCGAAGCACAGAATTATAGTTTCGACTGAGCCTTTCGTACCATTACTATACCAGTGGAACACAGTGGTGACTGAAGCCGCAGCAAGCGAGTCCATATAGCCGGCAGTAAGTCACGGCACTAACTAGTTAATTATTATTATTCCCGTGGCTATGCAGAAGACGTTACTTCAGTAACGTCTGGCGCTAGCCAGGGTCCACACAGCTTTAATTTGGTATTTGTTTGTGTGTTTGTTTGTTTGTTTGTGTCACGCCTGGCGCTATCCCGTATCTGACGGCAAAAACCAACCAACATGTCACATTCCCCACTCTTGTGCAGAATGGGCACCCTAAATCCTGCCTAGATCTCGTCGTCACGGATGTAGACAGCGACTATGTCCTTATCTCTAGTCTCCCGCAGATCGGCAACTCGGACCACCTATCCATCAGGGGTTTAATCAAGCCAGTCGCTGTGTAACATGTATGACATGTTTATTTATGCTGCTTATTCACTGTGTTTTATAATGGTTGTTTAGAGAGATTGGCACATATCCGGATTACACGCTTTTTGGTATTATGCCCACGCGGGTTCTAATCCCGTCATATTCTCTTTTTCTTTGGTTGTCTTTTTGCGCCTGCGCGGGAGAGAGGGAGAGAGAGAGAGGAACTTCGAGAGAGAAGAAGATGTTTTTCAGTTTGGGTTGTTCTTGTCCAGGAACGAAAGTAATCTAAATGTTATATTGTGAGCCAGTAGTTTTGTGAGTGGTACTTCTTGATTATGTTGTAACCTGCTAACATACCAGCAGTTTACAGCTGCACCCCCTCGAGCCGTACCACCTCCCACCCATAACACCACCCATTGGAAATGGTCAAACCCAAGCATCAGCAGTCTGGAAGCCGAAATTGAACGCACACAACTGCTACCGGAAGGTGACACCCTGAACACCACCAACATAGACAACCTGTGGCACTCATGGAAGGACAAAGTCCTCACCTGCGCCCGCAAACACTGTGCAGTACCTCACTCCCCGAGGCATACTAGCCACCCCGCAAAGCCAAGGCTGAACCCAGAGCTCACTAACGCCATCAGAGAAAAACACCGGCTCTACCCTGCCTACTTGCGCACCCGGACGCCCTGCAACTGGACAGCATACACCACCCAACGCAACAAAGTTACTCACCTTCTCCGAATCGCTAAGTCTACATATGTCAGTAATGGCACTGGGACGAGCCACTCCACACCAAACCTACACAAACTGATGCGCGGCCTCCAGTCCTCACAACGACCTACTCTGCCAGACATGCTCTCCCAGGGCCAGACTCTCTCAACCCCCGCTGAAAAAGCAACCGCCCTGAACGCTTTCTTCATCTCGCAGAGCCAACAGTCTGTCACAGAATGCCACGAGGAACTTCCCTCCATTCATTCCCCCACACCCAATACACCTGGCCTCACTACACTTGAAACAACAGCCCAAGAGGTCTCAAAGTTACTGTCTAACCTGGACCCGTCAAAGAGCCCGGGCTGTGATGGCATACCAACCCGCCTACTGAAAGAGGCAGCCAGTTCACTTGCGCTGTCCCTAGCAACACTTTTTAACATCTCCTTCGAACGTTGCACTATCCCGCAAGAGTGGAGAGACGCAACAGTCACCCCCATCCACAAGAAGGGCAGTAAAACCGAGCCCTCCAACTATCGACCGATATCGCTACTCAGCGTGACGTCGAAAGTACAAGAGAGGATAGTTGCTGACCGCATCTCGAAGCACATCCAACCTCACCTCCCCAACGGCCAATCAGGCTTTCGGCCAAACGATGGCACCACACAGCAGCTATCTCGGTTAATCCATCAGATCAGCGAGAAAAGAGACGCCGGGCAAACAGTAATTGCTTGCTTCTTCGACCTATCTAAGGCGTTTGACCGGGTGTGGCACCAAGGACTACTTGCAAAATTGGCCCACCTCGGACTCGATGGCAAATGCCTCCAGTGGCTTGCCTCCTATCTCACCAATAGACGACAACGTGTGCAAGTGGAGAGCAGCAAATCAACCTGGCTAAACATTCCAGTGGGGGTCCCCCAAGGCTCTGTCTTGGGGCCGCTTTTCTTCACGGCCTACACAGTTGATCTGCCAACCGCCTGCATAAATGCCAACACTGAGTGCAGCCAGTTTGCCGACGACACTGCAATCATTGCCGCTCACGAGAATTTTTTAGCCGCAGAAGAGCACCTCCAGTCAGCTGTGACAACCGCGGCACAGTGGCTGAAGGATTGGCATCTCCTGGTCAACGAAAGTAAGACCACTGTCATCCACTTTCACCACACCAATCGGCCACCTCCCAGACCACCATCAATCACACTCAACAATACCAACCTCAGTGTGGCCTCAAGGCATCGCCACCTTGGCCTCCTCATACAGCAGAATCCATGCTGGAACTCGCATGTTGACTACATCATCACTAAAGCGACCAGGAAGATGTTCCTTCTCCTGTGACTACGCAATTCCTTAAACACTTCTGCTCTCTCCTCCATCTATCTAACCTACATCTGCCCTATTCTTGAGTATGCTTGTACTGTCCTCTCACCCCTCCCCGCAACCCTGAACGACCGGCTTGAGCGCATCCAACGGCGCGCTGCTCGCCTCTGTTTGCATCTCCCCCTCTTTGAACACAGAACCCACTCCGTGCTGCTGCACCGACTCAAATGGCCATCACTCAGCAGCCGCCGTACCCTCTCCCATATCCTTCTTGCACATAGCCTGCATCATAGATATGCACCACCACACCTTCTTGCAATTCACCTACCCCGAATACAACCCATTCGCACGCTCAGGTTCCCCCGAACCTTTGAGCTACCCACAACACGTACAAACCGGCTAAGAGACTCCCCCATCTATGCTTCTCTTGATCTCTTTAATAGGATCCCACCCAGCATCCGGCAAATCAACCCCAGACGAGATTTCAAAGCAAACATCCTACCACTTGTCATCTCTTCTGTATGTACTTGTTAACATTGCTCAGCACATCTATAGCTCCATTGCGCCCAGCCTACGTGATTAACTCCCAATTAGTATTGCCATCGCTACTGCCTCAGCAAGTAGCTAAACTTTGATCTCTCTGTATCTGATCCCCGTGCCTGTAATTATTTTTCTCTTATTGGCCACAGGCCATCGTGAGAATAAAAGAATTCAAACTACAACAACAACTTCTCTTATTGGCCACAGGCCATCGTGAGAATAAAAGATTTCCAACAACAACAACAACAACAACAACAACAACAACAAAACAACAATCCCCATATCCCACACTACCTTAGACAAGCTAGAGAGAATCCAGCGGAAAGCCGCACGATTATGCCTCTACCTCCCTCTCTACACCCATATTAACCACTATGACCTTCTACATCGCATCAAGTGGCCCACTCTCTTCTCCCACTTCAAAGTTAAACACATAGCGTTTGCTCACTCCATCCACCACAATTACGCCCGCCTCATATTCTAATGCTCGCAACCCCAAATCATGTCAGTACAGGCTCTAGGTTTCTGCACACTCATACTTGGCATTTGCCAACTGCAAGAACCGACCACTGCCTGGGTTCCCCTTTGTATAAATCTCTCCATTATTTCAATGGCCTCTCATCAACGTTACGCGATATTCAATCACCAACCTTGTTTAAGCAAAATATATTAACCCTGCTGCGGAATTCAATTTGCTCATGCACGAGCTACGCTCACCCGTACATCTAGTTTGATCACTGCAAGCCATGAACCTTCCGCATCAACAACAACAACAACAACAACAACAACAACACCAGCAACCAGCAACAACACCAGCAACCAGCAACAACACCAGCAACAACAACAACATCAACAACAACAACAACAACAACTGTACAAGTCCCTAGAATACTACAATGCCCTCCTTGCTAGCATTCGTGACGTCTCCTCCCGACCTGCTTTCAAACAAGAAATCTGCTCACTGCTGATTAACTCAATCTGCTCCTGCAGCGCTCACCCTCTCCCATACTTGTAAAGTTCAAAGTGATGTAAATCACTTTCCAACTGTTTAACCCACAATCTCACCTTCTCATAAATTTATCTTCTATTAGAAAGAATGTTGCCATCGTGAGAATAAAGAATTCAACAACAACGACGACGACGACGACGACGACGACGACGACGACGACGACGACGACGACGACAACAACAACAACAACAACAACAACAACACTAGCACGCACAAAGCGGGTAGACTTTTAAAATACATGGTAACACTAATCCTAATTAGGAGGGAGTCTGTTTGCGGGTGTTATGCACAAATACACATTACTGTAAAAGATTTTATTGTAAGGAGTCGCAAGATTAACAATTGTCCAAAATTCATAAGTTAACGAGACGAGGCGTTAACGATTTTGCAGTCTTGTGTGTGCTCCGAAAGGCAGTCGTGACTAATGAGTCAGTCCAGTGTCGAGTTCGGCAGGAAGCATTTGTTCCACATAGCAGCAACCAACATCCATCAGAACAGTCGTTACTTCCTCTAAATCAATCAAAAACAAATTAAAAAAACTTCACGGTTCTCTTGTGACTCAGCTAGATTGAGTTTTCAGCATCCGTAGGAATGCAACCACTCTGCAAAGGAATCAATGAAAGGAAGTAAACAAATGGAGGTCAGGGGTTTGGAGGGGGGGGGGGGGGGCAGCATACTTACTAACACCAAGTCGAGAGCTGAACTTGATGGCGGTGTGTGCCATGCCGATGTCACACAGAATATCATAAAGGTATTGTAAGTGGATACCCTCCCTGCTGCTCTACAGGAAGACAATAAATAAAACAAGAATGATGATGTCACCACCGGCAACAACAACAAAATCGTGAGAATAAAGATTTGAAACAACAACAACAACAACAACTGCTACAACATCGTGAGAATAATGATTTGAAACAACAACAACCGCAACTACAACAACAACAACAACAACGACAACAACAACAACAACAACAACAACAACAACAACAACAACAACAACAACAACAACAACAACAACAACAACGACAACAGCAACAACAACAACAACGACAACAACAACATCTAATTGGCCACAGGCCATCGTGAGAATAAAATATTTCAAACAACAACAACAACGACAACGACAACAACAACAACAACAAAAACAACACTCCTATTGGCCACAGGCCATCGTGAGAATAAAAGATTTCAAACATTGACTTATTGGTGATGGTGCCATCATGAGAATAAAGAATTCAAATTCACAAAAACGACGACGACAACAACAACAACATGGGGGAATCCAGCACAAGGCGGCCAGCATTTGCCTCCGTCTCCCCCTCTTCACTCCTCTGAATCATTCAGCGCTGCTCCATCGGCTCCAATGGTGGACAATATTCTCTCGCCGCAAAGTAAAGCTGACCCTTCTTCCACACTCCATAAAATATCAATATGCCCCACAACACATATGCAAGATTAACACCCCCGCTAAAGTTATGCCCCAGTATAGCCTTCCAAGTTCGACACCCACGCACTTGGCACCTCCCACCCACCAGAACCGACCGCTGTAAAGACTCCCCACTGTACAAGTCCCTAGAATACTACAATGCCCTCCCTGCTAGCATTCGTGACATTTCCTCCCGACCTGCTTTCAAACAAGAAATCTACCCACTGCTGATTAACTCAATCTGCTCCTGCAGCGCTCACCCTCTCCCATACTTGTAGAATTCAAAGCGGCGTAAATTACTTTACAACTGCATAACCTGCCGCCCCACCCACAGCATCTCACCTTCTCATAAACTTATCTCTTATTGGCGAGGGTGCCATCGTGAGAATAAAGAATTCAACAAAAATCAACAACAACAACAACAACAACAGAGATTTGAAACAACAACAATAGCAACTTGAAAATACCGCCATTACGGCAACAGGCTCTCAGTTGCACCAAATAGATAAATAAATAACTTTGCCCTGATGATGCCCAATGGGCGAAACATTGGCAAAGTTATTTATTCATCTATTTGGTGCAGCTGAGAGCCTGTTGCCGGAATGGCGGTATTTTCAAGTGCAAGAAATACGCTGCAATGGAGTTTGGGAATTCTGAAGAAACAATAGTAACCTGAAGAAACAATAGTAACCTGAAGAAACAATAGTAACCTGAAGAAACAATAGTAACCTGAAGAAACAATAGTAACCTGAAGAAACAATAGTAACCTGATGAAAAAGGCCATGTGTGAACAAAATCAAATACTAGTACCCACATTTAGACTTTCCCTATGACAAAGGGATGAACTCAGCAGCCATCAGTTGTGTGTGTGTGTGTATAGGGGGAGCGGGGAGGGTCAGCATCTAAGTGCCTCATCCACTTCAACGGACCCACTTCTACCTCGATGCAGACCTGGAAAAAAGAGGGAAAGAAGAATGGCGGATGGCAAAGTCGGTTGGATCGAGAGCTGGTACTGCCGAGGACATCAAACACCGAATGGTTCTGGCATCGCAGTCATTTGGTCGGATGCAAAGCCTTCTACAGTCATCAGGGATCTCCCTAACGTTGAAGCTGAGGCTGTACAATTGCTACGTTCTAAGCATTTTGCTTTACAACTGCGCTACCTGGGGCCTCACTGAGGCACTCAGAACGTCTCTGGACGTTTGCCACCGCCGTCACCTCCGCTCGCTACTCCGTATAAAGTATCCAAATATAATCAAAAACACGGAACTCTACAACCGCTGTCGCACCCAACCCATCTCCAAGGAGATCGCGGCGCGGCGATGGAGCTTCCTGGGGCATGTGCTCCGGATGCCATCAGGGGCACCGCCACAGGTCGCTCTCGATTTTGCTGCTTCTGGTGCCTTGCGGGGAAGGATAGGCAGACCAAGAACAACACTGCTAACCACTCTCTCACTGGATTGTCGGGAGAAGCTGGGGCTTGTGCTTCTGTCGCGACCTGGCCTAGCCCAGCTTCGGAAGGTGGCGTATGATAAATGCCGATGGAATTCATTGCGAAACAGCACTGTTAATTAGCCTGGCCATAATCATACGATTACATCTGACATGCTTGCCTGCCTACTTGTGCGCACGCATGCATTCTTGCCGGAGATGTCTACCTGTGGCGACAAAATTTTTTCATGGACTGATCTTCTTTTTTAGTGTTTGCACACTCTTGGCTGCTGCTGCTGTGGCGCTTTTGTATTTACATGCTGCTGCACTCTGTACGGCTGCACTAGCCGTGTTAACTGTCGTACCCAGATGCACACATTCAATCCCTGGCTATGCTTTGGAATTGTTTTCGTTGCCTATGTCCTCATCTCTCTTCGTTTTGTTTTCGCTGCCTGGGCTCTCATTTATCTTTGCGTGCTTGCTTGCTTGTATTGCTGAGGGAACATATGCTGGTTTGTATTCGTGGGTCCCCATGGTGCATGGGCCACGCGTACTCATCCGGCGGATATGTGTGAATAATAATAATAATATCCACTTCAAGCAGTATGACACCGGATTATGCGAAAAATGCCGACATCGAGGCATCGCATTCTTTCCCATACAAACACTCTAGGTTTGTGCACAGCGCAGGGTGCAGACACATTCTGTCACACGCCCACCGTGTAATTTCCTTCGCTTTCTGTTCATTCCAAGTCCTTACCAGGCACATTTAGACCAACACACAATTTTGACCTCAACGAAGGGAACGAAGTAACGTTCTATTCCTTTAGTTTAAGTTCGAATTTTTGAACCGGTTTTAGCCCTGATGGAGACCAGTCTCTGGTGCTTGACCAATCTCCATCACAACAGTATCCGGGCAGCACACATCACATGTCAAGCAGCACGAATACACGCACCTCTTCCCACACCCCCATGATCTTCCGTGCAACTCGACTTGGATCTGTGATGTTCTCGCTCTGAAGACGCGTCACTTTATCGTCATTGCCGAGCAGCCGGGTAGCCAACAGCTCAACCTGATCAGTCGACTTGAAATCCTTTCCAACATCAAGGAACAGATTACCTGCGAGACAGGGAGGACATAAAGAGAGCAAGAAGGAGAGAGAGAGAAATAGAGATAGATAGATAGATAGATAGAGAGAGAGAGAGAGAGAGAGAGAGAGAGAGAGAGAGAGAGAAAGCAGGTGCATGATTTAACAAGCAGGTTGTCAGTCTAGATTTTATGCGCAGATGGAGAAAAAGCGCAGAATTTTTGTAATGAGATGAAAAGCAGAAATAATAAGAAATAATAAGAAAAGATGAAATGAAAGCCTGCTCACAACCCCGCCCAGCCTTGCGAACTGGGTATGGTGGATTAAGAACCCGGTTCAACGCTCGAGCAAGCGCTCGCCACTCAAGGTGTTCACAGCAACGAGAGAGAGAGAGAGAGAGAGAGAGAGAGAGAGAGAGAGAGAGAGAGAGAGAGAGAGAGAGAGAGAGAGAGAGAGAGAGAGAGAGAGAGAGAGAGAGAGAGAGAGAGAGAGAGAGAGAGAGAGAGAGAGAGAGAGAGAGAGAGAGAGAGAGAGAGAGAGAGAGAGAGAGAGAGAGAGAGAGAGAGAGAGAGAGAGAGAGAGAGAGAGAGAGAGAGAGAGAGAGACAGAGAGAGAGAGAGAGACAGAGAGAGAGAGAGAGAGACAGAGAGAGAGAGAGAGAGAGAGAGAGAGAGAGAGAGAACAAAATAAACAAAAGATTTTGAAAAGAGGGTGAGTAATAGAAGTACACCAAGGAAAGTAAGAGTTTGTTTGTTGTGACTCAGAGTTTCATGGTGCAACAACTAATCAGCATACTGTAAATATGCAAAATTTCGGCAAATACCAAATTCTGGCTACCTTAGTGTCTTGTATTAAAACCTTTCTCATATAGAAACCTGTTTTGAATGGAAGCTTGATTTTCAAGATACACTGGTATATTCGGCACAGATCCAAAATGGCGAAATTGAAGTGCTGACGACATTTTTAACATCGGCTTTGTTGATGTACATATGTACTAGTATTAACGCCGTGCCGAAAATATATATCGCTGTCTCATAGAAGATCTGTACTGGGACGTTTAGCAAGGCCAGTCGTGCTTCATAATCCCACGCTGAAACTGCAGGTCCACACACTGGCAAAGGAAGAGTGCAAGCTAAAGTAGAGCCTGTCAAGGCGGCCACCACCTGTCAAGGCGGCCACCACCTGTCAAGGCGGCCACCACCTGTCAAGGCGGCCACCACCTGTCAAGGCAGCCACCACCTGTCTCAGAGGTCCACTACAACTAGGACCACACCCGTATGTCCTTCTTGCTACACACTTAGCCTAGCATCCCGCCCGACGGCCAAAAATGTCCGATTTTGTCCCCAAATCGTCCTGAATGCTGTAGAACGGGTAATTTTAGCGACTATTAATTTTAGCGTTTTCCCATTGTCAACCGGTTAGCGACGTTTTATTTTAGCGATTTGCAGCGATTTTACTCACGGATCACCAGTGCACTACTAATGTCTCAACGGGTTAGCGACTTGAAACTTCAGCGAAAATGAGTAGATCGCTAAATTCGCTAGGGTTTTTACGTCGCTAAAATTACCCGTTCTACAGTATTGACCATGGCACCATAAGATTTAAGAATGCAAAAAAAGAAGGGTTACTAGGGATGCAGAACATACTCTATTGTAAAAAAAAGAGAGTAAATTATCGTGTCCGTTCCCACTGCTATTCAGGTGTTGCTTGTGATGTACTGATGGTGCCGGCGTGAGGACCACAGATGGAATACACTCAAGTTCGCTTATAACGACACTCGACGGGGCAACAGAAAAGTGTCGTTATTCGCGAAGTGTACTTATACCTGAAGTCTCCTTACACAGTAGAGTCGCGCACCCAAGAACGTTGTTTCCTAGGGGTTAGCCTGGGACGTTCTTATTTCGTCAGCAATCTGACTGCGTTCTTAGAAACAATCCGTCCTGGATCATGTGTATCCCATAAGCTGCCAGAAAACCAACACCACCGTTCTTAACTTTAGGCTGTGGCGTTCTTAGAATTTCAGGCTGGACGTTCTTCAGCGCGCGACTCTACTGTATGTATTTCAGTTAGATGGGACTTTGCTCCGGGCATGGAAATTCTGTCGTTATATCCGCAGTCGTTATTAGCGAAGTTGACTGCAGAAATATGCAGGACTGCACGCAGCGCAGCACAACAATTTGGGCCGGGGTCAGCTAAAACATGTCTTTGGGGTTTCGTAAATTTTTGGCACATGACGGAACAAAAAAATGTTTCTGCCGAGCGCATTCACGCTGTGCTTCATTCATCAACTGGTGGTGATAGCATCTTGTCGGGCTTTGCTCTTTATACTTGTTTGGTAGTCTACAGTCCATTCATCGGAAACAGTCCCACTGGCTTTTGAAAGTCCGATTTGGGCCGAACTGAGAATCAAAAACCCACTTTAAATCTCAAAAATCTGGGTTTTGGACCTGCTTCTCCATATATTTTGCCATGGTATAACTGTCCTAATTTTGTAAAACCTGGCTGAATTTCTATTTCCCTGTTCTTGGACTTGCCTGGCCTCAAATTTGGCAAGGAGTAATTGCACGGGTCACACAATGCACGATGTACTGTTGTTTTCACGATATCTACAACTACATGTATGTGTGGGAGACACCAACAAGTTAGGGTGCCAGTTTCCAATGAATGGACTGTAGCTCAAGCAGCTGGTGAGGACAGCGACAATTTTCTAGAATAAAAAATTGAAACATTACACTGTAAGAGATATGTGTTAGCTGGGCAGTGCACTAGTGGCTGTGGCCCGTTATAATTAATTTTTTCAAATTCTACAATCACTGTGCATGTAGCCCTTATGCTCGTCGCAACAGCGCGAGCGCAGGCACAGCGTAGGTGCAATCGCCGACGCTATCATGATTTGAAATTGAGAGCGAGCGGCGCGGTGCGCACACGTGCGCCAATGACTTGATCGCAGAGCCTCACTCACCCCCAGCGCCATGCCATCTGAACACGACACTACTAGTAGTAGTAAGTACTAGTAGATCTACATACTGTAACATAGTCAATGCAAAGATGGGTCTTCTGGACAGGACATGAAATTTTACCTACCGTTTGTGGCCGAGTTTTCGGCCATAGCTATCAGCAATATCAAGATACTAGTAGATCAACTGGTGGTATGACTCGGTGAGGTACTGCAGATGCCTTCAAGATCCTCTTGATGAGAGCTACAGCGAGTACAGGGGGTATACTATAGCCTATGCGACATCAACTAGAGGAGCCATGCAAGCCCAATAATTATACAAAATTGAACGTCAAACCAAAATTAATAATCAATTAGTTGGGCAACGAGGTTTTTACCATGCAAGCAAACCAGAAAGAAAAAAATCCCCTCATTTCAAGACACATGCAGCTTGTACTAGCTAGCCGGCCCCCTGCCCTGGCCCTGCATACTAACACAGTACCAACAGATCTACGAGTGGCAAGTATCAGTAGTGCACTGTCTGTAGCCTAGCCGCGGCTAGTGTAGGACTGGGCTGCACGCATGGTAGAGGTGGCGACTCCGGGTCACTGTACGGTGAAAGCTGGCTTGACGTTGTGGACAGAATGATAGGTCGGGTCAACATGGTCAACCCTTCTCAGACTCAGCTACAGTACAGTGACTCAAGGAAGATGGGTCCGGGCCGGGACCAGCCTTTTTAGAGTGCTTTTACTGGTTTCGTGTCTTGATTATGCAGCATCCCGGGTAACTAATTTGCTTACATGTACATGTACATGACGTGTACAATATTATTATTATGTAGATCAAGAGTACTAGTAGTCACAGCTCGAGTGAGGATAACAAGGATGCAGTTTACAGGGTTATGGGCCGTTACACGCCCGATTGGTTGAGAGACTCACCTCCTCTCCCCTGACTCACTTGTGAGGTCTGCATTCGCCACTAAGGTGTAAAGGCATAGTGGTGGCCTGCGGAAGCGAAGGCTATAGCTTGTGTGTTTCTGAACATTCAAGTGATGCTAACGCGGATCCCGCGAATATTATTTATATTATAGATCAAGAATGCTACATGTATCTGTAGAGAAGAAATACAAAGTAACTTAGTTTTGGAATCATGACCAGCTAGCCGGCTGTAAAAAGACTCAACACAGCGTTACTATAATGTACATGGACCACATAGCAGGGGCGTAGCCAGGATAGTGATCAAGGGGGGGGGGGGGGGGGGGGTGTCACGACTTTCCCCACACAAAAGTACAATCATGCACTTATGTTGGTCCTTTCATGCACATTATTCGATCCGTGAAAGGGGGGGGGGGGGGGGGGGGAAGCAAAATTCGCCCCTAATTCGACGCTGAAGATCAATCAGTGAATGGCAAATCTCCAACCAGGGAGTAGTAATGATTATGGTATTTTACTACACCCTGGCCTGCTTCCAAGTTCCAACTAATGATGGACTAAGTCCTGGATGCTGCTTTCTCCAGAATTATCACTCTCCATCGAACTTTTAAAGTGGGATTTCTCGAGCTATTTTTCCCCTTCATGTTTGATAGTGCAGTAACACATCCTTGATCAAACCTACACTATTTCAAACAAAACTCAAAGTGCACTTCAACGTTACTTTCACTCTTCTACTGCTGTATCCACACTTGAAATGCATGAAAGAAACTTTGCCTTTACACAACGAGACCATGATTAACATCGAGAACTTCATTATACAAAACATAGCGAGAACAAACTGCTACTGTATGTCTGACGTGTGCTTTCCGGCCATAGACCGCGTTGGTACTTCCTTGCTTCTACCAATGGCGTGTTTGTATGATTCTTTGCTTCTTACAAAACATGTGGAGTGCCATACAAATCATGCGCTGAGCCTGCTGAGGCCTGATGTGACACTGCACAACGGCAGGTACGAAGCGGAGTTTCCTTGACTAGAAATTGCATTGCAAAATGACCAATCATGAGACAAAAATTAAAGGGGAAGTTAAGGCAAAAATCAAAATTTCACCAGTTGTAGTCTTCGGGGTGCTGAGTCGAATGGTCATGGTCCGAGGAAGCTGAGACGCTCCCTTCCTACTTGAATCCCAATCGAACTCGCGCACTTCCACCGAAACTGGGTGACTGCGCCCTACTAGATGGGGATTTGTATGCAAAATGTCACTAAAAGCGCCATTTCGTTCTTATAAAAGCACGGATGACCGCGATTGGCCCATATGTTGTAGTCTTTTGGACGCTGAGTCGACTGGTTTTGGTCCGAAAAGGCTGCGATGCAGCGTTCCTCCTTTATTCCCAATCGAACATGGTTGAACAAGCGGTCACGTGCTCTTGCGTACGCCAGTCACCTGGTCACCGTGCCTGCAGGGTACAACTTACTAGCCTGTTTGACCTTTTTTGGGTGCAATCCTGTCACTCGAGTTGACCCTTGCCCTTGGTGTGAAAGTTCTCGCCTGCTGGCGTGGTGACCAGGTGATTTGGGCACCCAGGAGCACGTGACCGCTTGTTCAACCATGTTCGATTGGGAATAAAGGAGGAACGCTGCATCGCAGCCTTTTCGGACCAAAACCAGTCGACTCAGCGTCCAAAAGACTACAACATATGGGCCAATCGCGGTCATCCGTGCTTTTATAAGAACAAAATGGCGCTTTTAGTGACATTTTGCATACAAATCCCCATCTAGTAGGGCGCAGTCACCCAGTTTCGGTGGAAGTGCGCGAGTTCGATTGGGATTCAAGTAGGAAGGGAGCGTCTCAGCTTCCTCGGACCACGACCATTCGACTCAGCACCCCGAAGACTACAACTGGTGAAATTTAAATTTTTGCCTTAACTTCCCCTAGTCCACTGCATGTGGATTGGTTTCAGATACATTGTACTTGCAGGTCTGAACCAGGGACCGGAAGTAGTACCTAATACTCCCTGGTCTAAAACAGGGATGGCTACATGATATACAGTGTGCGATGTGCAGATTTGCGCATGTGATCAGCGCGTCTGCTGAGTGCTATGGTCTCTCTCGAACCAGCTGTGAACCAAGATCGAAATTTTTGAGGGGGGTGCTTTGGCACCCAAAGCACCCCCCTTGCCTACGCCCCTGCATGGGCATGTACAATGTCAGGTACAGAAATCGCAGGACGTGCATGTACGTGTACATGACATTGTACAAGTTACGTCCTGCGATTTCTGTACCGGACATTGTACATGACATGTATTTGGCTAAAAAAAGATCCGCACACTCATGCCCTTCATCAGCCCTCCATAACACAATGCTCCATTCAGCTACATGTACATTCCTCCCCTCATTGCTACTTCCATTTTCGTATTTTTATTTTTTTATCTACTTTTCTCTTCATTTCTGACTCCTCTCTAATACTGGTTGTCATCGATTTCATAATACTTACATGTATTGGGCAGAACTGCCCGTTTGACATGCGATGTAAAATAGAATAAACAACAACAAAAACTAAAACAACAACAACAACAACAACAACAACAACAACAACAACAACAACAACAACAACAACAACAACAACAACAACAACAACAACAACAACAACAACAACAACAACAACAACAACAACAACAACAACAACAACAACAACAACAACAACAACAACAGCAACAACAACAACAACAACAACAACAACAACAACAACAACAACAACAACAACAACAACAACAACAACAACAACAACAACAACCACAACTTGTACACATGTACACTGAAGCCAGAGTGAGGGTAACATGCACTAGGATGCATGTACTGTACATGTACATGCACCTGCTCGGATACGTCCTCACATTGAACATTGCGAATGCACTGTACTGGCCGCCCGGCCGCCGGGGAAAGCGGGTTGACATTAACTTTGTTGCTATTGGACTTCTTTCTGGGATTTACGCTCCTCGGCATTCGTCTCGTTGAGCACTCTCGGTAGGCTGGTTTAGTGCTTCTGCAGTATGCATCGCCCGATTCTTTTCGTAGTTTGTCGAGCACTCTGGTAACTCGGCTTACTTCGTAGCTGCACTGATACGGTCTTTATGGCGGAAACAGCTTGCCGTCTGCAGCATTGGGGACTTGTTTCTGATAATTGTTTTGTTTTAATTGTATTTGTTTTTGTGGGCATGGATACATGCGGATGAACTGATGTCGTGCGTGTACATGACACATGTAAACCATCATAGTACATATTCCTTATGACCTTAGTTTACACGGTGAAAGCCTACTTACTTCAGTAGACACATCCGTATAATCTTCAGTGAATTGGTCAGTTGTGCATCGCTTTGGACTGTCCGACGAACCATACTCCCTGCACAACGTCCAATAAAGATACTTTGCCAATACTTGTATTATTGTGGATTGTGGCGATTGACATACATGTATAAGTACAATGTACGCTAAGTGCACCCGCTCTTGGGCGGCGAAGTCCTTTCAACTTGCACCAACTTGATCTGTATTGATATTAGTGGTGCGAGGTGCTCACATTTCGTGTAACTTGAGTTCAGGGCACGCCTGAGGAATCGTCTTTATAAATGTACTTTAGTGCTTCGAAATTATAATCAATTCTGGGCGATGTTCATACTGGAAATCATAGTCATAAATTTTTCTCTATACCAGTCGTGTTGGTGACGTAATTCAATAAAATAATTTCAAATAGAAATGGAAAGCTGAAATTATATATCTGTATATAGGCACGCAATTCCATAAATACATGATTGTACACAGTCAACATGGATTCACCCTGCTCATGGCCTGCTGAAAATACTAATACAGTGTACTCAGTCACACTGCCATTAGCGTAATATGCTATGTACCGGAACAGCTAGAATGAGTCGGCTGGATAGCAGAGCGTGGAGTGACGAAGTTTGGTGACATTCTAACAAAGCTGCTGACATCAAGGTGTCCATTCTTGGCTAGTGCAAGCCTATGACTAATTGCCATTATCCATTGTTGGGCATACCAGTACATGTACCGACACACATACATGTACACTGCATGGTGGTAAGATCAAGGCTCGTTCATGGGCACCAGTTTGGGGTATGATTACGTCATTGGTCATTGGCCAGGAATATTGCCATTGAACAGAACTTGGTCTTGGTGCGGGGCCGGCTTGTCTTTGTCCGCATCTAGGGGGTCGGTGGTGGCCACTAGTGTCCAGTCGAAGGTGGTCATAGCTAGTGGTGGGTTTGTAAGGCACGGCTGCTCGCCAGGTAAGCAGTCTTTATCAATATCGACAGTCGTCACTGTGGGTGGGTTCCCTGGGAACTTGGTGCTCGGAGTGAACTCATCCGAAGTGCTTAGCGTAGGTCCAGTTGCTTCCAATGCACTGCTTGTGGCGAGTAGATTAGTTGCGCAAGGCTCCTCCCCGGGTAAGCAGTCCTTGTCGATATCAACTAAAGTTGTCACTGTTGGCGGCTCGACGGGGAACGCTGTGGCGGTGATGGGCTCCATCGCGGTGGTGAATGTTGGCTCCGCTGATGAGATGCCGCCACTGGATTCGGGGAAGGTCGACCCCACAAGATCTGTGTGTACCGTGGGCCATGTGCTCAGCATGGTGGACGTCGACTCGGAAACTTCGCCCGGGAATATGGCGCTATTGCCGGGTTGTTGACCCTGAGAGTCCGTTGTGGAGTCCACGTGCCACGTGGATACAGGCAATGCGGTTGTGATTTGGGCATCCGTGATTCGGACAGGGGAAGTTCTCCCCGGACCTCGGGTGGTTGCCCTCGGCACTGCGGGTTCAGTTGTGGCCTGATCTTCCGGTGATCGGGTGGTTGCCCTCGGCACTGCGGGTTCAGTTGTTGCCTGATCTTCCGGTGATGGAGGCACGGTGGTGGCCTTGTCCTCTGGCATGTCCTTGTCTTCCGGTGATGGAGGCACGGTGGTCGCCTTGTCCTCTGGCATGTCCTTGTCTTCCCCGAGAGGTGACCATGTTGTGCCCGGCCCAGGCATGGAGACGCGTGTAGTCTGCGTCTGTGAGGATGGTAGTGCCGATGATGGTAGTGCTGATGAGCCCTCCGTAGAGTCGACACGCTGGCCTGGCGTCCCGGCTGTCGGAGTAAACACTTCAGTCACCACTCCTGCAGCCGTGTTGCTGATCGTAACTACTTGGCCACGAACGACTACTTGGCCACTCTGCCCCAGTGCGGCGGCTGATAGCCCACCCTGATCCAGATCCAGATCCGACGCAGCGTCATCCGTTGACAACTCACTTCCCAGGTCTGAGTCAAAATTGTCATCGCTCGCCGCGTCCGCGATTCCCTCTTGTCGGCTGAGTCGTAGTTTGACACCTGGAGCCCGCTCTACGCTGTTGGTGCGCGTCAACAAGTATTCCATAACCCGATTGACAGCTTCCTGCACCGCTATTCTGTTTGACGCAAGGTCTGCTCCGGTGTCATGATGCCAATACGACGAGTCAACGCCTGGATACAACTCCAGTGGGATACTGCGACATTGCACGAATCGCAGACAGCATATTGCGGACAGCACGAGAAGGACCAGTAACGAGAATCTCGTGGACAAGAACGCAACAGCAGAAAATACAGTCATCGTCGCGACGCGACGCTGATGGCAAGCGATGGTGGTCCAAGTTGCGATTTGACGCTGTCTGTATTACGTGTCAATGTCCGATTTGCAACGAGCATGATACTGGAAGAAGTAGAGACATTAGCAGACGTCCAGCACTATCAGACCCCTAACTCAAAAGCAATTGTCTCCACGAACGAAACGCCACTACTGCCACCATGACCACACAATGTTGTCTGAACAAGTGACGATCATTCGCCTAGCCCGAGCCCTGAAAAAGAGATTCCTTTCGAGGCGGATAAGTAAAAGTTCCACGAGTACCAACCATCGCTTGTCCGCACGCTGAGCAGCATCTAGCAAGCTGCAAACGATGCACTAAACGGCCTTCTTAATCCCCGCTGTAGATTCTACGCGAGAGCCGTGCACGGTTTCCCAGGCCGGTAGGTGCATGCAGTGGATGCACGCGGGTGGCTAGAATGCACGCAGGAATGCGATGCTGCACACGGCAAGCCTGCGAGAGCCCTCGGCCGGTTTCAGTATCTTAGCGCGGTGATACTGATAGCTGCCACAGATCAGAGCCTCAAATACATGTACGCGACGTCGTCTGAGTGCAGCATCCGCCGTGAAATTGTCTAGCAGTTACACAGCATATTTACAGCAATGAAATAGCAACGTTCACAAGAAGCACTGTTGTAAAATGTGTCGATTAATTCCTTAGCGTTGTCGGAACTTTCTCACCAGTGGAATGCAAAGGGACAAATTAATATCAGTGAGCGGCATAGATACATGTACCAAGATAACAGCGCAGCAGAATGCAAGTGGCAGGCATCCACAGTGGCAATGGCATGGTATTGGAATATTTCACTGCTGGGTTCGTCTAAGACCCTGATTGAGAAACGAGGGGTGCCAAGTTCACGTCCCGCTTGGAATCGCGTCGATTTTTATCCAACCATGCTGGGTTGTGACTCACAGTGACTTGGGAGCGTGTGGCTTGGCACAAGGGTACAGTGGATGCTGCGGCAAACAGGACATCGACCTTTAGCATCCATCTACCCCGCCGTTTAGGAGCGACATCTGGAGCCTGATCATGGGATTGTGACATCCCAGGGAAGCAGAAGGGAGGTTCATGACCCGCTTTGTACTCGGATCTGTTACATTTATTGCAATTTTAACCTTTTTTTCTTTAATTAAAAATAACTTCAGCCAGTATGACTACTACAGTATTCATTTCGTCTTGGGCTGGGTTAAACATAACTTGGAGGAATCAAAATCCCTTCTAAGTCCTAGGCACTACGTGTGGAGAAGATCGGTCGTTAAAGCCAGGTGGTCTTTAGAACCAGGTCCCACGGTTTCTGTGTCCACGCATGGAAACCGTTCGTTAAGAGCAGGTGGTCCCAGAGGTCGCTTACACCAGGTTTTGCTGTATTGTAGGGGTGAAAGTTGGCACTGAGATCCCGAGTTCGAGTACTCTGATTTTCTCCGATCGAATATTCGAGTATTCGAGTATCCTTCATCTCCTAAAAATTGCACGCCAAGGGCCTTAAATTCACATGATACAACCCTGATTGAACCGAGTAGAAGTCATTTTTCTCGGGGATATTAGTTGGTGGGTCATTTGGGCTCTCTCTACTCGTGAACAAATGTTCACCACACACTCTGTACATCAATATCTGCCGACTGCTGCTCTGAAACTGCAGATTTCTGTGGTAAATGCCCGTACCATCTATGAACGAGTACTCTGATTTATTCCGAGTACGATTATTTTTGAAAAAACCGAGCGAGTACTCGAGTATTCGGTATAATTGTTTCACCCCTACTGTATTGCCAATACTGTGCAGCCACCCCTGGGGCCCTGCATCATTGCCCCATCCGTGCAGTTGTGTGACAGTGCTGCGTGGATAGAACCTTTACATTCTTATTGTTTTATTTTGAACAAATTAGCCCTGTCTTTATTGCTCATCATGTACATGTACATAATGTAGCATATTATATTACACACACAACAGAGGCGAAATGCTGTGCAGCTCTAACTTCAAGTTTCACGCATTTCAGCGATCATCAGACAGCGGCATTCACTATCGAATCCTCTCGATAGTGAATGCTGTCGCACGTCGCACGTAAGGACACGGATCCTGCATGGGCATCCTGAACAGATCTGAAAAGTATGGGTTTAATTAATACTGAGGTATCTGTCTGCAACTCACAGTAGACGCCTGCACTGCTGCAGCTAACAGTGAGGTCTGGCGTGTCTCTCAAACCTCTGTGGACTGAATACAGAAACACTTCACTACAGATCGTGGCTCACCCGAAGTGGAGCGTCCAAGTCCCTGGTGTATGCGTGTCCATGTACCTGGTGTATGCGTGTCTATGTACCTGGTGTATGCGTGTCCATGTACCTGGTGTATGCGTGTCTATGTACCTGGTGTATGCGTGTCTATGTACCTGGTGTATGCGTGTCTATGTACCTGGTGTATGCGTGTCTATGTACCTGTATAAATAAGTCCATGACCATGTACAGTAAAACCTGGTGTAAGCGACCCCTGGTTTAGCGACCACCTGCTCTTAACGACCATTTTCCCCTGCATGGGGTCATGGACTGGTTCTAAAGACCACGTGGCTTTAACGACCGCTTTTGCTTGCACCGTGGGATGGTCCCTTACTAAGGCCTTAGACCAGGTATTACTCTACATGTATGTGAATGTCAAAATTAATGTCGCGTTCTGATGGTTGCTGAAATGCGTGAAGCTACATGTAACTGTTACTGGGTGTACTTGAAGTAATTAGTTACAGCTGCTGAGCTACACAGCCTTTGTATGTACGTGTCATGTACATGACACATGTACTTGTATGTGTGTCCGCGTACATGTACATGTACATGTACATGTACATGTACATGTACATGTACATGTACATGACATGTACATCAGTGTTGGATGCTGATCATGCTGTGGCAAGTGATTAGTTGCATCTGTTGAGTGTTGTAGTGTTGAAGACCCTTGGCCAGTCATAAGTACACTGTATTCGGTCGATGAGCAAAGACTCTTTTTCTGGAAAACAGTATAGACTTCACTGTGCAATCATGAAGGATTAGAACACAACACAAACAGAAAGAAAATAATTTTATGCAAGAAAGGAATCGTGTAAAACAAAAATGATACTTAAGAATGCGAACCAAATTAGATCAATGAGCAGCAGATGATATACATGTACATGTAGATGCATCTGCCAACCATCACGGTTTACGGTCGCTTGCGAAAATGCTGGCGCAATAACCACCAGGGTGATTATGATCAATCAGTGGAGCGCCCTATCTCCTCTTCGCCACGTTTCGCGCCTTCTCTATCGCCCCTCTATATCAGATATGGCGGAACGCTGCACCTTGGAGCTTTGCTGCATTCAGTAGTGTCTTTGGACGGTGGTGGAGTGAACCTGAGGCCGAATGCAATAGAGATTGTCAGATTAGAGGAGCGCTCTCTAATCCCATTGCATAAATCACCGCCCTTGGGTCATACCGCGTCACGGGAAGTATCGTGGAAGGCTGGGAGAGGCGGCGAGCAGGATCTCAAAAAATGATTACATGCTACATATACATATGTAGCATGTACATAATAAATAATCGAATCCTTCACCTTCGGATGTTTTCAGCAGCACGAGCCGAAGAATACTTGTACCGTAGTACTATCGTTCTCACGCTTTTTGGCCGGCAGTAAAATTGCTGCAGATCAGGTATCTGCCATCAGAACTTGCTCAAATTTTCTGATGGTATTAACACTTCACGCGTCCGAAGGCACACGCGATTCAGCATCACTCTGTCAAACCCTGATTAGGGCTAACACACATTCCAGTGCGGCCATACACTGTACACTGTACATGTATACCCGCACAACAGTCAACACTCCCTAAAGCCTTCTCTGGGCTACATCACTTTATGACTTGAAACTCAGAAAGATGGTACAATAAAGCCGTTGTAAATGGCGATTCAGCCTGTCCCAGTCATCGTTAGAGAGAGAGAGAGAGAAAGAGAGAGAGAGAGAATGAGATAGAGAGAGAGAGAGAGAGAGAGAGAGAGAGAGAGAGAGTGATAGAGAGGAGAGAGAGAGAGAGAGAGAGAGAGAGAGAGAGAGAGAGAGAGAGAGAGAGAGAGAGAGAGAGAGAGAGAGAGAGAGAGAGAGAGAGAGAGAGAGAGAGAGAGAGAGAGAGAGAGAGAGAGAGGGAGCGAGAGAGAGAGAGGAGAGAGAAAGAGAGAGAGAGGGAGAGAGAGAGATCGAGAGAGAGAGAGAGGGAGATGGAGAGAGAAAGAGAGAGAGAGAGAGACAGAGAGAGACAGAGAGAGAGAGACAGAGAGAGAGAGAGAGAGAGAGAGAGAGAGAGAGAGAGAGAGAGAGAGAGAGAGAGAGAGAGAGAGAGAGAGAGAGAGAGAGAGAGAGAGAGAGAGAGAGAGAGAGAGAGAGAGAGAGAGAGAGAGAGAGAGAGAGAGAGAGAGAGACAGAGAGACAGAGAGAGAGAGAGGGCGGAGAGAGAGAGAGACAGAGGGAGAGAGAGGGAGAGGGAGAGAGAAAGAGAAAAGAGAGAGCTGGGAGATAGAAGAGCACAGTGCTCTTTGTGATGGGGTTGCGAAGGATAGCAGGTTCTGGGACATGTGCATGAGAATCAGAATATTGGTGATGATGGCAGCAAGGGTATAAGGTACCTTCTCTGGGCTACACCACTTTATGACTTGAAACTCAGGAAGATGGTACAATGAAGCCGTTGTAAATGGCAATTTAGCTTGTCCCAGTCATCGTTAGAGAGATTTGAACGGTAGCGCGCAAGGGAGAGACATGTACACGCTCAAGCAGCGTAACAGAATTGAAATGTAAGGACAGAAATACGGAGAGAGGAAGGGTAGAAAATAGTTAACCGAGTCAACCTCAGAGCTACACTAAAGCAAAAACGGAATGGGAATATACTGTAATCGAAATAGCATCATACAAATGTTGTAAAATACGTTTCCTATTCTTCAGTCCACTGTTTAACAGAAACACACTAGCCGGAAAGCATTTTTTAGTTATAAGGAGCCGTGATGCGTTTTAGCAGGGCACAACACTGATGGTTGTTGGGCTCGGAACGGAGATCAGGCGGGAGGTGGTTCCACAGGACAGCGTGGCTTCCATAACGCGCAGAACTGAGCGATGTCAACACTATCTGCCACAGTGTCTCTTGCGTCGTTCCGACACGCCTGGAGCGCAAGGAATCCCAGT